ATTAATAAAATTAATAAAATTAATAAAATTAATAAAATTAATAAAATTAATAAAATTAATAAAATTAATAAAATTAAATAAAATAATTTGAGAGAAAGTTAATTGATAAGAAAACAAAAATTGTATTTACCATAAGAATTTAATTCCAACCACTGTGTTCATTCGAGTTACCCCTTTCACCCCATCCGTCATCATTGTTAGTTGTCGTTCCTAAATATAAATGAATAATAAATTGATTTAAGCAACAATGATAAAATATTACATATAACAAAATTGTATCAGCCAAACCTTTTTGGCCAGAGGGATTATTCCAACCTTATTGAAGTTATTAATGACAAGATGATAAAATGATAAGATGATAAATTATTATATTTGGCGATATACAATAATAACCAAGTAATTTGACACCAAACTAAAATGAAAAGATACCATTAGAATTACCCCAGCCAGCATCTTCGGCGTTTGCGTCAGATTCCCAAGGGAGGTTAGTTTTACCCGACATTTCTTCCTGTTCTTGTTGTTCAGCCCAACTATTACCACTACCGAAGCCACCTTCTTCAGCAGATTTATTGGAACGATGTTGATCACTATACCGTCTTGTAGGTCTGCGTACATTCCCGCCACGTCCTCTTCCACGGTCACCAAAACCGCCACGATAACCTCTTGAACCACCGTAGTCGGAATTTCTGGGAGCGTAATCATTATTTTCCCGAGAATTTCTGTAATCATTATTTTCCCGAGAATTTCTTGGACCAGAACGACGATACTCATTATCACCACGATCACGATCACGATCACCACGATAATTTCTTGAACCGAAACCACCGGACTCGTTATTACGAGAATTATAACCACCATAATCGTTATTGCCACGAGAATCTCTTCTACCATGATTTCCATAGTCATTATCATTTCCACCATCAGGACCATTCTTTACGTAAGGATTGTTAGGAGAATAACGAACTTCCGAGCTTTTTCTTTGTTGTCGTGGAGAGTTCCAACCAGTTTCTTCTTTTTCCTTGTCCCATTCTCGAGCATCACGATTTTGAATTTTACGTTGGGCATTTTCTTCGCGTTCATTACTTAGGAATATAATTGGATATAATTGAATATAATTGAATATATATGAAATATAAAATTTAAGAGTAATAAAAATGTCAAGTTAAAAGTTACTCGAGTTGTTCTTGTAACTGCTTTTTTTGAAAATCGCGTCTTCTTTTTTCTTCTTCTT